CCACTTAAGTACATATGTTAAGTTTTAGTATTAAGCGCTGAAGAAATGCAATTTTTTTATGAGAAAGCAAAATACCAATAAATTAAAGGATTAGTACTGAGCAACATGCCATTGTGCCATTGACATTCTAATAAAGTTTTTGATACCATGATTTTTTTTTTTTAATGTTTATGAAAAGGTATCTCCTTACAGCTTTAAACAATATAAATAAAATTGACAATAAAACAATCGTACGCACAGATACACAAATATATATACAGTGCCGGCCACTTGGATAGCGCCCATTTTGTTCGTCAGTACTGACTGTTTTCTTTTATTTATTTTGAGATTCATTAATCTTTTTATACAAATTTGACATAGGGTGTGTTCAGAAATGCATCAGGCCAAAGTCTCCTTTATTTCTAAACTATAATTGAGGGGAATGTTCAAAATGCGCATTCACGGTCAAATGCCAAATTAGAACTTGGTTGCGTAAATAAGGCATTTCCATTATTGAACATAATTTAGAAATAAAATAGATTGATGCTTTGGCTTGATGCATTTCTGAACACATCCATATTCTGTTTTACAATTTTATACAAAATTTAAATACATATGTATAATAAATAATGTGGATAAATTTCATCAAAATTTCAAACTTTTTAAAAAAAATTTCGATATTTTTTTTTCTTAGATATGCAACTTTCTAAAAAATGGCGTTGATTTGTGTAATGTTTTTACAAAGTATGCTCCAAATTTTTTAATATGGGCAAAAAACGAAATCCTCAAAAATCAGTGCAATTTTGTAGGTACTTGGGAAATGCATACTCAAAAAAAAAAATTAAAAATTTTATTTAAAATTTTTTGAATTATAAATTTTGTACTCTTTAAGCTATATTTTATAAAAACTTTATGAATAATTAATACACAAAAGGAAAACTGTCAATGCTGATGTTTAAGAGGGAGCGCTATTCAAGTGGCCAGCACTGTATGAAGATGATAATTAGGTTAGAATTGTACGTACGTACATAAATATATGCAAATATACATACGTATTCTCTAAATAACTATTACTCTATACGCTGGATTGTATCTGTTGTTCGTCATACAATTTTTCAAGATTGTACTTTGTAAATTTTTCACTTAACTACTCGTAATTTATACATACATCCTATATATGTATGTATGTGTATATATATGTGACAGAGAAAGTTGAAAGGGACCTACGGCTCTGTAATGCTTAATGTTTTGTTTGGCAATTCATCAATCTTTGAAGTGAATTTATGAAAAGACTTAGATACAAAAAATCATCTTCGCCATCTTTTTCTTCTTTGGCACCACAACCGTTAGTCGGTTTGAGCCGAGACCAAAAAGCTGCGCCAATTGCCTCCTTCCTTTGTGGATGTGCGCTGCACTTGATCCTTCCATTGTGTTCGTGGGTGCCCTTGCTTTCGTTGTCCACCCATGGGTGCTGAGTCGCAGGATCGTTTCACCGGAGCGTCATTTTCCATGCGTAAAAGTTATTTAAAGTATCTTGCTTCTTTTGACGCCGCTAAACCACCTCGTCGGCATGTAAATTCATAATGTTTACATTGAAAATTTCACCCAAAACGTGCCTTGGCGAAGTTATCACGTGGCCCCCCAAAATCCCTTTTGACTTTTCCCGTCACATATGTATTTATATTAAGAATTATTATACAATATTGCAGATTAAATAAATACATATGTATGCACGCATGAGTTGTATGCCATTTAAATGCAGTAAATAAATAAAACATTAATATATGTATAAGTTTTAAGACCAATTGAATTAAAAATTAAAAAAACAACTTTTTTGAAAACATTCTAACGGTTAAAATTAACTTTTCGGGTGGCCTAGTGCAGGTCGTTTACTCAAGTAAATTTTATTATTTATCTGTCCTTAAAAAACAAATTTAGTTCTCAAAAAAACTGTTTGAAGGGCACACAAATTTTAAAAGATACTTTATAAAAGGGCGCTTAAAATATTTCTTACGACCTAGAATTTTCTACTTAAACTGTAACAATTTTAAGATTATTTTAAGGGTTCAACGAAATAACGCCAAGCACCAGGGTTGCCAGGAAGAGAAGCTCAATAAAACCGGGCAATGGCGGGGGAATGAATGCGGAAGGGAGAAGATGTGGCGGTTTCTTCGAATGCAAACAATTCTACAAAGTACGAATAATATGTACATGAAAAACTTCGAATTTCTTTTTACTACTGCAACTTTTACAATTCTCTGTAAGAAAATTATATTGCAAGAAAGTCATACACAGAGTGGTTAAAGGTATACAATTCCTTGGTTTAAACCATGAACAGCCTTAAAGTCAAGTTTCAGTCACGTTTCAGTCTTGAAATAGGCTAGGCTGGGTTGAAACCATTCCAAGATATCTCGTCTAGTGAATTACTAACATTTTTAACCCAACCGCCCTGTGTGATTCATAAATTTATAAATTCGTGGAGGGCTTTTCTACATATAACAAAGCAATAAAGGTTACCATTAGCATAAACATATGTATGCAAAATATGCTAAATAAAAATTTCGTTGAATTAAACGTAGAATTTTTAATAACAATAAAGGGGGTCGAAATTTTTCGAAAACCTGCATCTATGGTCAAGTTTAGCTCACGATTTGTTAGTGTTAGGCCAAGCTTCTCCTCCGAGTTGTGGCCTGCGCCTTGATGTTACACAAAGGGGACAGACCTATAGTTTTACGCCGATTCCAAACGGCGATTGTATTTTTATCAGAAGCTATTTTTCATGGCAGAAATATTATTGGAAGTTTACCATTGCTTGTCGAGAATAAATAGTCAAAACTTGCCAAAATTTAGGTGTCGTATAGTTATGTTAACTTTTAATTTATGTATGTATGTATGTATTTTAATAGATTTTAGAATTTTCCTTTCTAAATCGAAAAACATTTCTTAT